CTAGAAGGAATCAGTAGAAGATTAGAGGATACAGAAAAATGTGTCAGTGATTTGGAAGGCAGAGTAATGGAAAGCACCCAACTGAACAGCAGAAAGATAAAAGAATAAAAAGAAATGAGGATAGGTTAAGGAAACTAGAACAATATCAAATGTCCAAACATTCACATTATAGAAGTCCCAGAAGGAGGAGAGAGAAAGGGATTGAAAGCTTACTTGAAGAAATAACACCTGAAAATATTCCTAACCTAGAGAAGGACAGATATGCAAGTCCAGGAAGCAGAAAAAGCTCCAAACAAGATAAACCCAAGGATGTCCATACCAAGACATGTCATCACTAAAATGTCAAAGATCAAAGACAAAGAGTCTTAAAAGCTGTAGGAGAGGAAAGTAACAAGGTACCTACAAGAAAACCCCATAAGGCTCTCAGCTGATTTTTCAGCAGAAACTTTGATAGAGTTTCTCAGGACAGAAAACAGTGGCAAGATATATTCAAAGTGCTGAAAGAGAAAAACCTGTAACCGAGAATACTCTACTCACAAGGTTACCATTCAGAATGGAAGGAGAGATAAAGAACTTCACAGATAAACATGAATTAAGAGGGTTTGCCACTAAACCTTATAGGAAGTGTTAAAGCGTCTTCTTTAAGTAGAAAAGACAAGACCCCAACTAGAATCAAGAAGAATATAAAAGTGAAAAATAAAATATATCAGAAGTAATAGATAAGGTACTTAAAAGCTAGTATGAAGGTCAGAGACAAAAGTAGTAAAATAAATTACATCTAAACATAGTTAAGGGAATCACTAAATAAAATGGTGTGAAAGAAGGCAACATATACATGAAAAATGGTGGAGGGGGTGTAAAAATTGTACTGTTAGAATATGAAGTGACCATCAAGTTATTATAGATTGCTATAACAGGATGTCGTATGTCAACCCCACGGTAACAATAAGCTAAAAACCTATAATGGATACACAAAAAATAAACAGAAGGCAATCTAGCCATGAAACTGAAGGGATGGAAAAAGATATTCCATGCAAATGGGAATGAAAAAACTGGAGTAGCAATACTTACCAAAGTAGAGTTTAAAACAAAATAACAAGTGACAAAGAAGGACATTATATAATGATTAAGAGCTCAATCCAATAAAAAGGTATAACAATTGTAAATATCTATGTACCCAACAGAGGAAAACCTGAATCTATAAAGTAAATATTAACAGACATAAAGGGGGATATTGGAATACAATAATAGTAGGAACCTTTAATACCCTACAGAACCTTTAATACCCAGACAGAAAACCAATGAAGAAACAACAGATTTGAATTACACATTAGACCAAACAGAATTAACAGATATATACAGAACATCATATCCAAATATAATAGAATACACATTCAAGTGCACATTCTTTTCAAGTGGAACATTGTTCAGAATACATAAAATGTTAGGCCACAAAGCAAGTTTCAATAAATTTAAGAAGACTAAAATAATATCAAGCACCTTTTCTGACCACAGTGGTATGAAACTGGCAATCAGTCACAAGAAAAAAAGAAAAAACACCTGGAGGCTAAACAGTTACTAAACAACCAAATGGATGGATCATCAGAGAAATTTAAAAAAATACTTGGAGAACAGTGAAAATAGAAATACAATAGTCCAACATATTTAGGATGCTGGAAAAGCACTCCTAAGAGGGAAGTTTATAGTGATACAGGCCCACCTCAAAAAGTAAGAAGCATCTCAAATGATCTAACCTGGCACTAAAGGAACTATAAAACAGAACAAATAAAGCCCAGAGTTAGTAGAAGAACAGAAACAACAAAGATCAGGACTGAAATAAGAGAAATAGAGACTAAAAAAGCAATGCAAAAGATGAGTGAAACTGAGAGCTGGTTCTCTGAAAAAGATAAAATTGATAAACCTTTAGCTGGCTTCATCAAGAAAAAAGAGAAAGGACTCAAAATCAGAAATGAAAGAGAATTTACAACTGACACTACAGCAATCCAGTGACTTAAAAGAGTATTATGAAAAAGTATGTGCCAAAAAATAGGACCACTTAAAAGAAACAGAAAATCTGAACAGACTAGTAATGAAATTGAATTGGTATAAAAAAATTCCCAACAAACAAAATTCTGGGACCAGATGGCTTCAGAAGTGAATTCTATCAAATATTTACAGAGAAGTTAAAACCTATCCTAATCAAACTATTTCAAAAAATTGAAGAGGAAAGAAAGCTTCCCGATTCATTCTACAAGACATCACCCTGGTACCAAAACCAGATGGGGACAGAAAAAAAATAACAGCCCAATATTGCTGATGAACATTGATGCAAAATTCCTCAACAAAACATTAGCAAACACATTAAAAAGATGATGCACTATTAAAGTAGGATTTACTCCAGGGATGGTTCAATATCCACAAATCAATCAATGTGATACATCACATGAACAAAAGGAAGGATAAAAGCCATAGGATCATCTCTTAGATGCTGAGAAAGCATTTGACAAAGTTCAACATCCATTCATGATAAAAATCCTCAACAAAGTGCGTATAGAGGGCACATATTTCAACATAATAAAGGCCATATATGACAAACCCACAGCTAATATCATATTCAATGGTGAAAACCTGAAAGCTTCTCCTCTAAGATCAGGAAAAAGACAAGGATGCCCACTTTCACCACTTTTATTCAACATGGTCCTATATATCCTAGACAAAGCAGTTGGACAAGAAAAATAAAAGGCATCCAGGTTGGTAAGGAAGAAGTAAAGTTGTCACTATTTGCAGATGATGTTATATAACCTTAATGACTCCACTAAAAAATGGCTTGAATTAACAAGTGAGTTCAATAAAAGTCAAATGATACAAAATCAATAAACAGAAACTTGTCACATTTTCTATATACAAATGATGAACTAGAGAAAGAGAAATGAAGAAAACACTCCCATTTACAAATGCATTGAAAAGAATAAAATAAAAGCTACAGTAATCAAAACAGTATAGTACTGGCACAAGAACATATACATAGACCAATGGAATAGAATAGAGGGCCCAGAAATAAACCCACACCTATATGGTCAAGTAATATATGACAAAGGAAGCAAGAATATGCAATGGGGAAAAGATAGTTTCTTTAGTAATGGTGTTAGGAAAACTGGAATAGCTACATGCAAAAGAATGAAACTGACTTATACCATACACAAAAACAAACTTAAAATGGGTTAAAGACCTAAATATGAGAACTGAAACCATAAATCTCCTAGAAGGAAACAAGCAGAAAACCCTTGAACATCAACATTAGTAATTTTTTTTTCTAGTTATGGCTCTCCAGGCAAGGGAAACAAAAGCAAAAATAAACTAAACATCAAACTAAAAAGCTTCTGCATAGCAAGGAAACCAGCAACAAAATTAAAAGTCAACCTACTGTATGGGAGAAGATATTTGCAAATGACATATCTGATAAGGGGCTAACATCCAAAAAGAACTCATACAACTCAATACCAAAAGAACCAATCTGATTTAAAAATGGGTAAAGGACCTAAGACATTTGTCCAAAGAAGACTTACAGATAGCCAGCAGACACAAGAAAAGGCACTCAACATCAGTAATTATCAGGGAAATGTAGATCAAAAATACACAATGTGGTAACACAATCTGCATACCAGGCAGATTGGCTAATATCAACAAGACAAGAAATAAGTTTTGGTGAGGATCTGGAGAACACAACATAGAGCCATTGCACACTGCTGGTGAGATTCCAAATTGATGCAGGCAGTATGGAAAGTGGTATGGAGATTTCCCAAAAAACTAAAAATAGAAATACCATATGACCCAGGAATTTTTCTTCTGCGAATGTTCCTGAAGAAAACAAAATCATTAACTCTAAAAGATATATGTACTCTTATTTTATTACAGCATTATTTATAACTGTGAAGATAAGAAATCAAGCAAAGTATATATCAATACATGAATGGATAAAGAAGATGTGGTACATACATAAAATGGAATATTACTCAGCTATAAAAGTGAATGTAATCTTTGTCATTTGCAGTAAAATGGAAGGACCTACAAGATATTATACTAAGTGGAGTAAGTCAGAGAACAACATATACCTTATGGTTTCACTAATATGTGGAACTGAAAAATCACAGAAAAACAAAACAGAAGCAGACTCATGAATAGAGGTAATGAAATTTTGCTTTCCATCAGTTGGGGGGAATGGGTGAAATAGGTGAAGGGGGTAAGGAGGTCTAAACTTATATAAAGTAAGTTAGTCACAGTAATGGAAGTACAGCATAGGGAATATAGCTAATAATATTGTAATGTCTCTATAAGGTGACAGTAACTACACTTGTGCTGAGTATTTTGTAATGTATATAATTGTTGAATCACAAGTTATTCATCTAAAACCGATATAATATTGTATGTAAATTATATTTCAATTAAAAAAACAGGAAAAAAAGAGCTGTGCATTTTTTCCTTGAAAACCAGTAATTTGAGTAGATACATTGAGATACTAACAATAGAAATACAAACAAGAAAATGCAGATATTTCAGAAAACCTTCTATTGTTATAACAATGTAATTTATCAAAATACTATCTTTTTGAATAAAATTATGACTCTAAGGCACATCTAGTAATATTTTAAAAACTTATTAGAAAATAGTATTGTACTCAGATAGGGAGACAGAGTCCAAATTGCATCCCTTTCACTATTAGCCACTCATGGCGTCCTTCTGGTTCTCAGGGTGTCCGGTAACCCAGGCGTGGTGCTTGCTCTAGGTAATCTCTACTGCACCATTCCAGAATTCTATGATTCCTTACTGCTTTTGCCATTAAACCGACTGACTGACAAACCCACCTGACTGCTATTTTCCACACTTAAGATTTTTTTTTCTAGGAAGTCAGAAACCAATGAATTACTAATACGTACTTGATAGTAGATCTTAGGAATACTTTTGCTTAATGTGGAAAGTTTTCCTTGGCTTTTCTCCCCTACCTGAAGGAAGAAGGAAGAGGTCCTGTCCTGAGGGTGGCCGGCTACCGGGGCCAGGAGGTTTTGGATGTTCGGTGAGACTGTGCCTTGCAGGGGGTGGGGGAGGCGGGAGGGATGGGGGGAGGGCCTCAAAAGCATCTTCACCTGTATTTAAAGAAAGGCCAGTATTAACAACATAACTTCATGACTCAAAACACAGTATCAGGCCAAAGTAAAGATTTGATTTTTCTCTTGTGGCTTATAAGGAATTTTACCTGCAGGGTTTATCCAATTCATCAACTTTGATAATGAGAGCTAATTATTTTGTGGGAATGTTTGAAGAGAACACAGACACAGAAACACACACACACATGGGCACAGGCAAACTTTCTCTCCCAGGCCTTTCTATTAAAAGGCAGCATTGAAGGTTATGAAGCAGCTTATTATTTAGTTGTTAACCTTTATACTATTAAGACATGGTAAGTTTGAACAACAAATTATTATAAGTCACACCACCAAAACAGAATTATTCATATAATGATACGAGTTGATAGCTTTTAATCAGAAAGTCACATTATGCACAAAGAATTTAATGTCATGGAATTTTAAAGTTTAGTCCATTGGATTTTAATTCACTTAAACTAATGTTCCATATGTTTCATTGTTAAAATATACAGAAAATGTGCCTACAATAGAGGAATATAGTATTTTTCTCCTTATCCACTATCTCTAAAGAGGAACAGTTAAATATAGAACTACCTTTTGTGGTCCCAAAGCTGGTTACTGATATTTGCATATTTCCCAGTATTAGTAACTACAGAATATTGCAGCATGCTTTTTATCTACTTATTTTTCCCTGCCACTTCTTACTCTTCTACTCATATTTTCCCTTATCTTGATTAAAAAAAACCCTGCAGTGTATGTATTTTTTGAAATGATCTCAAATACCCTGACTGAAACAGGATATAAACAAACACCTACATATTCCAGTAATAAAAATTCATACATATTTAAATTTATTGATTTAAACATGAAGGTGTACTTAAAGAAAAATGGTTTTACTATTCATCTAGCTTGCCTTGTAAAAAAATACTCAACATGTTTTCTTTAATGATTATGTTTTTTCTAATTTAAAATATTTGAAGGTAAAGGGGAGAGAAAGCTTTGTCCCCAATCTTCAGCTGTTTGCTGTATTAATCTAATCCATGCAGATCCTTTTTCAGCTCTAAATGTCAGGCACCACATGAGGCACATGGGTAATGTGAAGATCACAATCATAAGGCCCTGATCCAGGGAACTTGGATTACACAAAGAGATCTAAGTTCACATACAGGTATGATTCACAGGTGGAAGTCCCATAGTTCCCACAGAGAGAGAGAGATGCATTGCAACAGGTAAGAGACACGTGGAAAGTGGCATCCAGCCAAGTGTTACTGTTACCAAGAACAGAAAGGCCTGGGATATGACGCACTCAAATACATTTATTCATCAAATGCAAGAGTGGTGTCTTTGAGGCAGGGTGAACAGTATAAATAGCATGGATGTACATGAAGGTCTTGAGGAAGGTCTAGTTAAAAAGACAGGTTGGAACATCTATCTGCATTGTCCAATGTGGTAATCAACATCTACATATAGCTATTCAGTCTCAATTTATATCAACTAAAAGTCAGTTCCATGGTTGTACATGTTAATATATAGATCATTCACATCACCATATAAAGTTCTACTGGACAATGCTGATCTAGATCATGAAGACTTGGGCAACAGGCCAGAATCTAGCACACAGAAAGAAGTAGAAGGGGCAGAAAGGGCTGTAGGTAAAGAAAGAAGTTAGGATGCTCTTATAATTCATGTAGGGGAGAAGAAGCACTGAACTACAGAAAGAACAGGTACAAAATATATCACAATTGTATAACTGGAAACACTGGTTGATGGGGAAAACTGAAAGGTTCATATTTCATAATAAATTCAGATAAGCTTATAAACAGACCTTCATCATATATTGTTTTGTTACGGTGACTTGTTACTGTACAGCCTTAAAGTGTGTGGAGGTTTTGTCTTCCTCTAAAAGTAGGGTGAGAAGCTTCTTAACCAAGAATTAATGAAATAAACACAGACCCCAGCACCAACCAGCCTTAACATGTACACACCTGTGTGCACCTTCGCATGTGTGTATGTACATACGTTAGTGTACTTCATATTGAAATTTGAAACAAATTGAGATTCTTTGGATTTGTTGTAATTGAAATGATTATAAACATTTATTCTCAGCTCTCCACAATAAAATATATGATTTTCTATAATGTAAACAACTAAATGGAAATGGGTCATTTTATTCTGAAAGAAAAAGTAAGTACACATGCATTAAGAATTGTACTTAAAAGAAAATCTCAGATGAACACTTCAAATCTACTAAAATATATGCCTGGAGAATGAATGATGCTCTTAGGTTTTTTAGACTGCATTTAATACATGAGGAGACAACTTGATAAAACGCTGACTGATGATCAGCTATTTATACCGTTGCTTCAAACCATCTAAATAGAGTAACAGTCACATGAACTTGAGAGCCACCATCACCTGGAAATCTATTCTAATTCAAATTCATAACCCTGTGGGTCTGTGTTGCACTGAACTCTGAAATCTGATAATTCAGATATTAATAGAAAGAAGAGCTAGGGTGGCTTGTTTGAAATTTTTAAAGGTTTCAACCTAATGGAGGGATGAGAAGATCATAATCAGAGGGCGTCCTGTTGAGTGAAGAACCATGCTTTGGATTGTCCCGAGTTGGAGGCCTGGCAGGTGGTAATGGCACTGGATCAGAGGCTGAATCAAAAACATCTCCTAGAGGATAACACAAAATCTTAATGTATTTTCAGTACAACAATGGCATGGAATTTTGCCTTTAAATTCTGACCATTAAGATATAGAACACAAAGAGAATATGATTTATACATACCCTTTAAATATATGCCTAACTCAGGGATGTTTGATTTTGTCATGTCTGAAGATGTACCATGTGTTCCATTTAATATACAGTGACCATTATCGCAAGACCTAAAGCAGGGATCAAAGGACAAAAATCATAAGGATAATCACTTTCCCTTTAAAAGTCACTTGGAGGGGTGATGGAAACTATCAACCCTGCTCACATGATAAAGTTAGAAAATAAACAGAATTTCCTTTTCTGGAAAAAGTATAAGTAATACTGTCTATATACTCTTACTCAAATACTTTTACAAAGCAGAAATAAATATCCATGGGAGACAAATAATCTCCCTTTTTTTTTTAAGTGAAACCAAGAATTACAAGGGCCAAAAAATAGTTGATACCCTAAACAAATCTGTGAAGTTAACATATTGTTTTGGAAGAGATAAATACTTTGTCAAGTTCTTGAAGAAAGAAATATAATACAAAAAATATATAACAGTCCCAATGACTTCATTATTTGTTCATGGTATTTAACATTCTATTTTTATTTCTATAATGTAAGGTTTCCTTACAATAAACTAGAGCTCATCAAAGGATAATTATTAAACATTCCATAAGTCCATTATAATTCTGATAGGCCTATTCAAAGACCTAGAGTCTATGATGTAATTTAACTACTGCCATGAACAACACTGGCACTTCCGACAACTGTAGAAAAACGATTTTAGCAAAGGCCTTGGGTACATGACAAATATTTCAGTCTGAGGATCTGTAAATGATAATACTAATACTAAAAACATTTTTGTTGTTATTGGCACTAATACTTTCGGATCATACTATGGACACAGTGGACAAATTGGGTCACGGGAGATATGTAACAGCAGGAAAAGATAATGGAGCATATTTTGTTTTCAGAATATAGCTGTACAACAAGCTATATTCTGCTCCACAAAGTTATCCTGCTCACAAAGAGCTATAGGAAACAGGGTTTATATTTTACTTTTTTCTGATTTGCTCTGAATTCTTGGAGCAAAAAAAGTACACACATAATGGAGGAGACAGTGGATGTCTGAGTAGTTACTGCAGCAGTGCTTCACCTGAAACTCATTTCCATTCTTTCTGGTGGCTGTGTTTCTTTAAGGGGCCAGAGACGGTTCACTTAAAAATAGTTATGAATTGAATTTTCATAATGACGAGTGATTTTTGCTGAACCTGAACTGAAGTAATTCATCTACTATTTAACTTTTTCCACATATTGACAGTATACTTCTAATACTTCAAAGGGGTAAAATAAACATAAGGAAAGGAACTGTTTAAACTTAAAGAGTGCTTAGGAGAGGATATAAGGTAGTTCATCCATTAGTTTTCAAGAAAAAATGAGATAAAAAATTCACCCCAATTAAGTTTAGGGATTATCAACATTTATTACTTCTCTGTAACAGTCATAATGGTGGTCATAATTCAGATTTATTTTCAGGATTTGGGAGGCCTGCCACTGAAAGTATCCAATACGATGTGACAACTAAAACTGAATGTATATAAAATACCCCTCACTTCTCCAGCAATGAAAAAAATGAGATCCCAGGAGACCAAGAAAGCTCATCTTAGTTCAGTTTTTTAAAATTACTACACATTTGTAAGAGCCAAAGGAACTGAAAATTGTAACAATTTATATCTGATGTGAAGGAATAACGTTTTCTATAATAAGAGTGGTAGACATTTGGTTCTTCTGATACAACAGATTGCCTCTGTGTTTGTCTTCTAAATGATACTATTTTATAAAAAAATGTGTTTAACACCAGCAATTAGCAAGAAATGCCTTGGTTCTTGCTTTGAAATACAAAGCCTTGGACTGCAGTGTTAATAATCCTAGCTAACAATTCTGCAGAATGCTGGTAATTCTAACCAGGATCCCTCATTAACACAGATCTCTGGATAAAAGGCAGATTTGCCCCTCTTTTCCACATAATGCGTTTTCTACCTCAGTATGGTACTAAAAAAAAGCATTGGAACAGTTTTTAGATTTTTCATCTGAAAAGAAGGGAACACTCCACTCATAAAATACTTTCCACTGATTGACTTGACCTCAAAAGAAAACGGAACACTAAGTAAAGATGATAGATGAGTCAAGTGTTCAATGGCTCTCCTGTTCCCTAGTCAGCCAACGAATCATGCAAGGCAGATGGCTGGGCCACCAGTACACAGTGAGCCTTCTTCTATGTGCCAAGCCTAGCTCTGGGGATGCTATTATAACAAAGGAAACTGGGGCTCAAAGTAAATTTTGAATCTGAGTGAGACTTGATTTATTGAATACCTCTTATAAATCTGCTAATAAACAGAAATTAAGATTATTTTAGATTATGGTTTACTAATTCAATTATATAAATGTAGAATTATCCTTCTACTTAGAGACAAAATAGTATTTCAGTACACACCACCCATTTTCAACAGTTTTTATATACCCCAATGGGACTGCTACTTCAAAGACCAAGGACATTTCCATTATAAATGTGAGTATAAATAACTGACAAGAAGACAACACTATTCCTCACATTGTTATTTGATCCAAGGAAAAGTAAGACAGTACCTGACAAACAGTTAAGGGAAATAAGTTTAGGTATTTTCTTTTTTCTTTTTTTTGGTTGATTGGTTTTTATTTCTTCAAGATCTGAATAGAAAAGTAGGTAGCATATCAAGAATATAAATTTCTACTCTTTACATCATGAATACAAATTCTAAGGTTGGCATAATATCTTAGTTTCTGAGCACTAATTTTTCTTCATTAGATATGTGCTTAGAACTGATAAAATACATTGAAATTAACATATTGAACATTCATACATTAATCATTGCTATATATAACCTACAGGAAAGTTTTTATTAGAGTATAATTTGCTTTTTGGGCAAAGAGGGGCAATAAAATGTTCCATTAGATATACTAGTCAACTAATTTAAATGACTTCCCAATTAATGAGAAATCTGCATCTTTTAGTTTTCTCTGAAAGTAGTGCAGAAAACAGTATACAGGAAGAAGCAGCTTTGTGTAAGAAACCAAGGGGTTTTAATTAAACAGATGTTATTCAATTACCCAAAAACAAACACCACAAATGATTATGCTTCTACAGATGTGAGGTGATAAAACGCTGTGTGTTTTCTTACCTAAGAGGGAGCTTTACATTATGACAATGAGATGGTTGTGGATTCAGGGCAACAGGATGGGATGAAGGCATCTTGTATTCATCGGCATCTTCCTCTACTGGGTCTCTTGTTTTCTCTGAAAGGGAATTTGCTAATGGACCAGTACACCTACCAGAGGAAGGGAAAAAAATCCAGTCCAGTTTTAGCATAAAAATTCAGAACAGGCAAGTCCAATGTGACACAGTCAAATCAAAGAAGCTACTTTGCGCTAATTTTCATTTCTCAATTACATGGTAACATCAGAAGGGCTGTTCTTATACTAAATACAGAAGAAAAGGATTTTCAATCTTCTGTTGATTCCACTGATAGGATAAAATAATTTTCATAGTTATAAATGGTACAATAAGAAAAACTGGTAATCTGACACCAAAATATGCCTTGGGGGTTGTAAGAGAATGCATAAAATTATCCAACCCAAAGTTATTAAAATATTAATATTTTGTATTAATGTAACTTAAAATGGGTAACTTAAAATGGGTAAACTAAGATGTAATATATATTCATGATATTTTTGAAATTTTTGATATAATTTTGATATTAATGAAATTTTTACAGAAAGGTCCAACTCTCTCTCTTGTATTACAAACAGTTGAAAAAAAAAGTTTAACTAAATGAAACAATTCTGTGAAGTTCAAATGCAATTCAAATTGTTAATTTTTTTCCAACAAGAACTAAAAAATGACTAGAAAATTAGAAGTAGATAATAAGATAACTTATTAAGTCTTTGAAGTAGAATACTTTTTTTAGACTTTAATTCCCTGGCTAACTAAAAATGAATGAAAATGAGTAAAACAATCACCTCAAATCAAAAGAAGTTTTGAAGCATTTTACTCATTCATGACAGTAAACAAACCAAAACAACCCAAAACAAAAACCTAGTGTTCTCAGTTGTTGCAAATGGAGTTTAATTCTTGCTGATGCCAGTGAAAAAATACCAAAGTAGAAACGCACAAACCTGCCTGGACCAACTTTAGGACACATAGCCAGTTTATAAGACACTGGAGATACGTATGACCCAAGGCTTTTTGTTAATCATCATGGACCTAATGATAAATATGTTTTATTAAAAAAAATTTTTTTAAATCTTTGAGACTGCAATTTTGAAGCACCTTCTGTAGAGGGAGCAAGAGGCCTTTGGTATATGAGTCATCAAGGCTGAAATAACGTTTTCCTTTTGATTTCTCACTAGTTAGAATAAAGACAATTTTAAGCGCTTCTCTTTGTGTCCATTATCTAAAGGTTTTCAAATTTTAACTCCATATCTTAGTCTCTAGGAAGTTGAGATTAAAGAAAAATCTCTAAGATTTTTCAAAAGTGTGTTTTTACCCGTTTTTGAAGACTTGATTTCAATACCGATTTTTGAATTCATTTGAGTGACCTCTGATTCAAATGACAGTTTATGGTGAGATGAAAGCACAGTGTCAGAAAGTCCACTGTCGCTGCACAGAACACAAGCTACCAACCTTACTAATAACCTAAAGGTTACACCTACTGTGGTATATGACCTTGGGAGAAGTACATTCCAAATGAGGCCTGCGGGTATACATTAGGGCATGACAGCAGGAATTTCACCATTACCTTTCTCAGGTTCTTACACACACGGATATCAATTTAGCTGACTTGAGGACCAGAATGGACTCAATTAACAAATGAAATGTGAAAAATACACATCCTTTCTATGTCCTAATATACTCTGATTCATAATGAATCTTTTTTCCTATACAATTCAAGCAGATACTGAAAAAGACATATTGACCAGATATTCAACAACCTCATCAGTGTCAAGAGTATTCTATAATCTGCCTGCTGTGGGTTACATACGTCCAAGATTTAACCATTTCCAAAGAAGCACTGCATTCTGAGACAAGAACGGACGGTTTCTGAAATCACATCTATGTGGTGCATTCTGTATTTTCTCTTCAATAATGAGAAAATTCATCTGGGTAATAATCACCCCTTACTTTTTTGCATTACTGCAAATCAACAGATGGGATATTTCTGAAGGAAATGAAAATAAAGTCCATCTTATATTTTATGGAATTATAGGAACTTATTTCTAAAATAATAGATTATTAGCTTAAAATGATTTCAGTGAATTCTGTCTAGAAGTAAAAAAAAGTCTTAAAGTAGTATTTGAATCTAAATCTGGAAAAACTGCTTAGATATTCATTTATCACCATTTTAATAAAATTCTAGAGGGTCAGGTTTTTTCTTCTTCATTATACTTTTAAATGAGAACTTCTTGTATCAGTAAATAATTCTACTTGGATTAAAGATAAGCCAATTTATAACTAACATTCCAGTGCATTTTATTCAATATTACACACATTTTATATAAAATTGATCCTATCCAGTTCTGATGGGAAAATAAAAGCAGTTTCTATCATTAAAAAAAAGGGAATGCAAACTATGGACTTTGTGTGGTTATGTGTCTCTGTATGTTCATCGGTGGTATGAGATGTACCCCTCTGGTGGAAGGTATTAAGGGGGGTAGGAGGTTTATGGGAACTCTACTTTCTCCTCAATTTCGCTGTGAATCTAAAAGTGCTCTACAAAATTAAAGTCTTAATTAAAAAAAAATAGAAGAGGAAGGTACAAATAAGATATAGTAGTTGTACATAAAATACAAAATCTCAATTCATGTAAATAATTACAGTATTTATAATTATATGTGGGATTTCTTTTCCCTTCAAAAACTCATTAAAAAAGCAGGTTCAATTTTACTTAAACTAAATAAGCATCTTTCACAAACAACTATGTTGAATATTCTTAGTGGCGTTCAAATATCACTTATTTAATTCCATTTGAGTCTACAAAGAAAGGTTAACAGCAACATAAGAAATGTTTGATCATGGTGGAAAATGTGAAGATGCCCTCACTTAATATGAAAATAAAATCTAATTCCAACCCTACAGGTTTTCTGTCACTGGATCAATATGTTCACGGATATTGGAGAATATGGTAGATTATGTGTCTGTAGGACAAAAAAGAGACATTGTAAGGAATATAATTTAGATTGTGTATTTAAATAGAACTTAATGGCTTACATTTCTGCCCAAGGCTATCTAATTATTTGTTATGATAAATCAATTTTGTGGCAAATTAAAAGTAACAGATTTGTAAGACCATTGGGATTAGTGTTAATATAATTTCCCATCATAACTTTAAGTCAGAAAAAATTAAAGTTTAGTGGAATTAGTGGCATTCCCCGGACCCAGATAGTAGCCATTCACCAAATGTCATTTTCCCACAGAAGATGAGAGGGGGATTACAATTGTCTGAATTTAGAAAATATAATACTAAAGTAAAGAGGAGCAAAATGATGCCCACAATATTTATTTTGTATCCTTTTGACACATTATTGCTCTTTCTGTTGAGAGTACTTCAAAACGATATACTTGCAGCCCTCAATTCTTTTCGTCAATGTGTCTGTCATCTGTAGTTGATAAGGATCCACCACAAAACACTAGAAAACCCATGTTAATATAATCAAGCTGTTTTGTAGGAGATTTGAATAAAACTTTATTTTTTCTACATGATCTCACTGATTTAAAAATTAAGTCTGACTTTCAAATACTGAGCCTCATTAGTAGGTCAGAACCAAACGCACAAGCATTTCTATGTAATACGTCAATGAGAGAAGAATGCCAAAGCAACCACGGCGACTGGACTGAAAAGCAGGACCCATCCACACGATCCTCTATCTGTCCTGCTAACTGTTATTCACAGTGGACTGCCATCTTTGATACCAGTGCAACTTTCTGTCTACCCAAGGTAAAACATATGAACAAAAATGGTGCATCATCTTGGCAAGTCTTAAAAACATTTTAAGGTATTAGAATGAGAGCTGGTTCAAAACTAATAGAAGAGCAACAATGTTCATTCACTGGCGTTAAGAAAATAGAGCAGCTCTAAATTAAGCTTTATCTTTCATTTAAATATAAGAAAATATGATAGAAAACTTTAAAATCAGTGATGCCCATTTCTTTTAATTGAGCATAAATTGGGTTAATGTAAAACTGAAGTACAGTTATTGTCTACACAAATCCTCAGGTGAACAGTAACATGTATTTTCCTACTCTTTTGACATTAAGCACAAGTAATGAAGCCTTGAAAGTACGATATACAAGATGACAAATTTCCATCAAGCTCATTCCCCTTAAGTCTTTTAAGATTACAGTGATATTTGTTTTAACAGCTCTCCTGTGGCTGAGTACTTTTTTCTTCTTCTGTCATTCGCTCCCTAGTTAAAAACAAGGCAAAGCAAAACAAAACAAAAACTTTCCCCTCTACCATGAATTTGCCCATCATTGCAGTCAAATTGGTCTAGCTTTATAATTTTACCCTTACCTACCTATAGACCATTTCGGCCACTATTCAAAGACAAGCACACTCACAGGCACACGGACACCAACGTTACTTCGAAGTGTGGATCTCTCAGACAGCTCTCAGTGTAAAGGGCAGTAGTTGAAGCTGTGTTCACAAATCCACATTTCTAGTTTATTTGCCCCCAGTAATTTGGTATATAAAGGGAGATTATGATAACAACCAATAATATATACTGTTTCCTAAAATTTTACTACATGAATGTTTCCAATATCAACACTTTGGGGGTAAATGGTATGGTCTTTAAGGTGATATTTTAATATACATTTTTATAAATCTCACAGAATTACATTCATAAGTCTAAGAGTATAACCAGTCCACTAAACTTGAGTGCTGGGCATGCAGAAATGAATTCATCAGCTTTAGATTGTACCTAATGAAATATTTACCTTAATATAAGGTTTAAAACTTACATGGAATGTCCAATTGTCCCCTCAACATTTCTATCTGGATATGTGTGTATAATAGGCATCCCACAGTTAGTAGATCCTGTCTTAATTGTACCACCTTGCCCCTTTCCCACACCCACTCCCTGTGCAATCTCCTTCACTTTGGTGAGTGGCACTAACCATTCACCCAGTGCCTTCAGCCAACACCCTGTGTAAGGGTCATCCCTGACGGGCATACCTCACAGACATCCAGTTTACTAACGGAAACCGTTGGATCAAAGGATGCCCAAAGCTGACCATGCACCTCCATCACTACCACTCTGGTCAAAAAGCCCTAACACCCTTTTACCAGTTCTATCCAGGCGGGCGACTGTACTTGCCACTGGTCTCCCTTCTTGCACTTTTGCTGTCTTAAAAACAGTTTTCCACATAGCAGCCAGTGAAACTCTTAAAAAACACAAACCAGCATCGTGCTGCAACACTGATCAAAACCTTTCATTGGCTCCTAAAACTAACCAAACTAACCAAAGTTCTTATCACGGCCATAAAGGCAGCACAATTGGCTCTTGAAACACATTGGTTTGAACTGTGTGGGTCTACTTATGTTATTTTTTTTTCAATAAATACATTGGAAAATTTTTTTGAGATTTGCTTCCAACTTTTCTTCTTCACATTTGGCAATTCCAAGAAAAGCTGCCACTGGAGAGAATGGCACTATTAGCTTAGTTTCCCACTGGGCATGCAGAAATGAATTTATCTCTTAGTTTCCCGCTATTCCCTGAATGACATCAAATTTCACCCCCTTGCTTGTTCTCATGTGCTCCCTCTTCCAACTGTGCCCATCCTCATGACTCAGGAAATGTCCAACCTCTCTGTGAAACATCCTTGCCTTACAAAATCTGTTAACAGCCTTTCCTCCAAGCTTATATATAAACTGACAGGTTAGAATCATACAATTCAGTGCAAAATGATCTCTAGTGATCTCAAGTATGTTAATCTTATTTTCTAAAGCAGAGTGTAAATATCTTGGGAAATTTGGCTCTGGGGTCTAGATCATCCTTCTGTTGCCTTCATAGGCATAGTGGGAATTCAGTGGCCAACAGAGGAAGGAGTGAAGGTACTCTAACACTTTCAGTTACAAATGAGGATCTTACCTGGCAATAAAGTCAATCAACTAAGAATCAGGTATCCTCAGTGTACTCACTAAACAGCAAAGAAAGTATGGTGGCATGAGAAAAATCAGAGAATACAAGAAGAGGTTTTTCCCTCAAAACCTTAGTCTTTTTAATGTGGCAAGGCACTTCACAATTGGAAAACAGTGGGGCAGAATACTCAATCAAATGTGTAGAAAATAAACTCTAAGAAGAGGAATGAGCATCAGTCTTGCTACTACCATTGTAACTGAATAAGTCACAGACATTTTCATAAGGAAATGAAGCCTGAGACATGGACCTTTAGAGTAAAGATTCTTAAAAGGTGGTGCATAGAAGGTAACAGCATGAAAAACAAAGCCAGAAAAAATTCAAGGCAAGATTAGAAGGCAAGGATTAGGTATCACTGAAGAATATTTTAGTTGGGTAAAATTCTATGGATCTTAATTCTGGCAGAAGAGCACAGAATAACTTAGAAGAAAAAAAAATACTGGGTTTTGAGTAGGAAAGTGATCTGGGGAAAGCAGAATTTATATTAATTCAGCTGTGTAAATAAAATATATTGGAGGAAAGGCAGGTGGTCTGATTTAATAGAAAGAGCAGGAAAATGAGAATCAGGAGACTTGCTTTTATTCTGGCTTGACATGGGTAGATATATCACTTAACTATCTAACGTGCCTCTGTGTCCCCGTTTTTCAAGTGACACTCTGGTTAACTCATTTTTCAAGCTTCAAAATCCATTGGTACTACTGAGATTCTCTGATCAGGTAATAAGACTATTTCAGTTGTCTAGTTATGAGGCAAAGCTAGGGTAATAGGGAAGATTAGCTGAACATAAAAACTGCAAAAGAACAATCAACAGGACTTGGTAGCTAAATGAGTCTGAGAAACAGGAAAACTGAAGGATCAAAGATGATTTTATGATGCTAAACTGGACAGTTGGGATAAATGGGAAACTTTTGAGGAAGAGAGATCAATTGGAAGGGAAAGCTCATTGTGCTACTCTATCCCCTTCTTGGACATGTGAAGACTTATTTTCTCCCCCTGTGTAATCTTGGAGCTTAGGTAAATATCATAGATGCTGGGGTTATCAGCAAAGAATCAGGAGAGCTCCTGATGTCTGGGACTAGTTTATACCTCTGGTGGACCATTGTTATTGACGTATTTATCACCTTGTACTTTCTGTACTGAGAACCTCAAAACTATTGTTTACCCTACCTTTATGCATGGACTAATAATCTACAAATTCAATAAACTCACTTGATACTAGGGAGAAGGGTGGAAGCTGGAGGAGGAGGAGAAAGCCGGGGAGGAACATCATATTCTTCATTTCCCAGGTGGCCATTGGAAAAGACCTGAAAGGGGATCAAAGGGTTAGTTAGTTCAGCTTAACTTCTAGAGACATTAAAACAGTAGCAGCTCGTAGGAAATCTGTAATTTTGGAAAGAATATATAATTTCAGTTTATTTAAACAAGTGAAATACCACATAATTTCCTTAGGAGTCAGTAGCACAATAATGATTACTCACTACCATCCAAAGTGGTAGCAAGTTACATGAAACAAATATAACATGACTCTTTAACACATTTAGAGGGAATATATGTCATAATTTCTATAAATGAAATACAGATACCTAGATACACAGGTAGTAAAAGCCCCCAAATATGATCAGGTTTTATTGAAAAGTTAGTGTTCTCTGTAGGATTCAGTAAAGAAAAAAGCAGTACTTGTACAATTCTTATTTTAATTCTTCCCAAATAAAAGAGCTCTAAATTACATCTTTATAGCATTAACAGAACATTTTTAATCTTCTCGATTAAACGGGACATGAGCACAACCAGAAATGCCTGTGTTCTTTCAAGGCTGAAGCCTCAGCACTACTGGTAACTAGAGACCTGTCCTGGCTTTCAAAGTGCAGGCGATTCTCAACAAAATTTTCAACGGGTGAAAAACAGCAATCAATATTGTTACCTTGTGCATAAAGTATGACAGAGAGCCAGAGTTTAACTACTCAGAATTCAGGAATTCTAATTTCTGGGTTGCTCAACTACACTACAGAACTGTCTGAACAACTGCTCTTCACTAATCCAATAATTTGAAATTAAAGCAACTTAAAAGAAAAAAAAACATTGCAAAGAGAATACAGATTAAACATATAAAAAAAAAACCTTTAAGCAATCATTAGAGTTTTCATGGAGCTCTTTCCAAAACTCTTAAGTGTCTCGTATTTAAAAGGCAGGCTGATGTTCGGGCACACAGGCTATAATGTGATTTGAGTTACCTGGGACAACTCAAATCACATTACAGCCTGTGTTAGTGACCTACCAGTTTCTTTCCCCATTTCTAAAGTGCTGTTAACATTTTCCAATGCAATATTGACAAGGCCATATCCTTCTCTAACAACTTAAATTAAGAAGAGGAACATATTGAAATAATGCATTTGAAATATATCAATGTTTGCATTTCAAAGCTACACATCTTAATTTGATAGCACTCACATTTTACTCTAAAACTAGGTCTTGTGCCATAGTTCCCATTTCTCCTTTTCATGTCTCCCCTCATTAGATTCAACATACTACAGTTACACTCTGAAAAAATATATCTTTAACCTTATTTAATTCTGAATTCCACATTCCCACCTGTACCCATTTCATTAGGCTTAAAATCACTTCAGCTGCCACCACCTGAGGGAGTGCAGTAAATTACAATTTTCTGACTAAACATATTTTATGTCCTCTGGAAATCTGAAGCGCCTATTTGCAAACAGGGGAAAACAACTGTTCCTCAAAATGGGCAGATCATCAGTATCAACTGAAGCAGTTCACACTGAAATCTCACGGATTCAGGCTTTCCTTACCTCCTCAAGTAAGGAAACACCTTTTTCCTCTCTCTCCTCAGTTCACTGTCCCAAGCCTATGCAATTCCACTGGAAAAGCGATCAGCTTAAATATTCTGATTCTATTACTCCTCTGGCCAAGAAAATGTTAAAGCTCCATTCCTGTCTACCAAATTAAAGGTAACTGTGTAGAAGTAGCACTCCGTAACTGGTTTCGCTCTGCACTGCCATCCCTTTACCTGCCTTGCCTGCTCTCTCTCTAGACCCTCTCCATCCAAACCGGACTTCCTCCACTTGGCATGTTTGCCCATCTCCATGCTATTCCTTCCTGTCCTGTCTGCAAAACATCAGTCTCGTCATGTCTACAGACAGTGGGCTTGCTTGACACTTGCTTTCTTTCTTCTTTTACCCTGCACAGAATTTTTTTCTTCTTGAGGACCCCACATAGTATTTTGTGGGTGCTTCTGTTCCTCAGTTAATCATATACCTGTCTCTTCCTCACTACAGAGTACTTTATTCATTTTGTATTCCCCACAGTGTCTTGACATCCTAAGTACTCATACAGCCTGAAAGAGGTTGAAGGAATGAGAATACATTAGGCAAAGTTTAGACTTGTGGAAGAAGTATAATCTGAGTTTCTGAGTTGCTACACAATTTATTATAAATTCCAGGTTATCCTAGATGAGTATTTTTCTACATGCCTCAAGTCAGCATTTAATCCTTCCTAACTCTGAAATTTGAAATGCTTTCTTATGATTCAGATATTGTCTAAAAATGAGGGTTAAAGCATCAGGATACAGAGATACAGAGAAAACATGTACTTTGGATTAATCTTAGCACAATTAAGAAAAACCTATTTATTTGTACAAAACTCCAAACACAGCCCCTTTTCCCCATTCCACACATGTAAACCCACAAATACACTATCCCAAAAATATTGCTTTAATTTGTCCTTCAACACCACCAGATGGAACATGAAAGCAGCACACACAGAGGCCGCATCTTCTGGGTCAGCCCATGAGATTCACAGATAAGTGTAAGGTCATTCATGTAAACATGTGCCTCTCCACCAAAAGAGCAAAAGCCACAATCTCAAAAAGGGGAATCATTTGATGTATTTATCTACCAGTAAATACATTGAATATCTTCAACATGTTATATTGTACACAGGGTCATTTTAGAATAATGCCACTTTAAGTAACTTAAGTCAGAGATAGTTTTTATCACATAAGAAACAGCAGTATGCTTAATCTTTTAAGGGGAACAAATACAGATGGACACAATATCAGTATGTAGATATAAGCAGATAAATTTCAAGTTTCCAATGATAAAAGGTTTTAAAACATTTTAGCACAAATGTTTTGACCTTATATAATTAAAAAAGACAAACCAACAATAAATACCTAGCTAACATAATATTATTAAAAAACAGGTTTATATGTGGCCGGAATCTGAGGACTTCAGAGAATGGAAACAGTACTATAAGAAAGAAACCCCTTACCTATAAAACAAGATAAATAAATCTAGTAACTCTTAGCTTGCAGATTCATTCTCAAACTAAAGTATTACCTTGCTAATTTGATTATGCCAGGTGGAAGGGGGAAGAGAAAAGGGAATAAATGAAAGTCATAGAAAATTCTTACCTTTCATTTTAACTATGAATTAGAGGGCTCTTTTCCTCAGAGCTCTCTACAAGTAGCAAATGGAGTAATTAGGATTTAATTTATTCTTGCTTCCCTTACCATTTACCTAGTGAAGATGCAAATGAAAAGAGCAAATGGTTCTAAGGGATGATGGGCCCTGGCACACTGCAGGGGACACAACAGACAGAGGTGAGTTGTCACTCCATTTACAGGGTGTTTAGCTTTAAGTATTCCTCTTATAGTATTCCATATGGACATCTAATTTTAATTTAAATTTTTAGTGTTTATCCAAGTTTTATGTTTAAAATAGGAAGATAATATTTAATGTGAAGCATTCCCTCTAATGAAAACAAGTCTAAATGATAGTTGTTCCTATTTCACATAAAAATGTACAGACATAACTCATTTAATTGTGCTTCGCACATACTGCACATAAATTGAAAGTTGATGGCAACCTGGTTGTCTAGCAAGTCTATCGGCACCATTTTTCCAACAGCATTTGCTCACTTGGTGTGTCCGTCACATTTTGGTAATCCTCCCAATATTTCAACCCAATGTTTCAAGTTTTTTCCTTCTTGTATTTGTTATGGTGGTCTGTGATCAGTGAGTACGACTCACTGCTCAGATGATGGTTAGCATTTTTCAGCAATAAAGTATTTTTTAATTAAGGTGTGTATATTACTTTTATAGACAAGGTCATTGCACACTTAATAGAAAATAGTAAGTGCAAAAATATTTTCATATGTACTGGGAAATCACAAAATGTATTTGACTCACTTCATTGCAGTATTCGCTTCATTGTGATAGTCGCCTCATTGCGATACTCACTTCCCTGCAGTGGTCACAGTCATGATCTCTCAGAAGTATGTCTGTATTTGCTTACATTTGGGGAGACTGATAGGTTATGTGAAGATAATACATCAGCCCCCAAATATCTAAATCCCCATACTCTTTATTCCATGATAAAATTTGAAAAAAACTGTACACTAGGTATGGATAGTGAGGATACACTGTAACATTTACAATGTTCATTAAAAAAAGAAACCTTTTCTAAATCAAAATCATCTTCCCTTCCTCTTCATCCCCTCTCCTTTGTCATACTCTCTTTATTGTATGTGATCTACCTAGCGAAAACTACTACCCTTTTAAAGAGAAAAAAAAATCCTATTTTAAACAAGGAAACTACATTCTACCTGTGGCTGAAGGCCAGCTGGAAAAATACATAAAAAATGGTACTCCTCACATGTCATGATGTCCTCTTCCTACAAGCCCTTTCCACTCTATCCTCGCCCACCCCCACCCCAGCACACACAGACTCTTTTCATCTCTATTAGCCTAAGTTTTGTAATAACTCAGCAAACAAGATATCGAGTGCTTACTTAGTATTCATTAGGAACTATGCTGAATAAAAGGAAGAAGGGCAGAAAGAGAAGATGTTTTTGGTTTTAAATTTTAGAAAAAGACTATTAATGTCAACTGTTACAACTTACTTGGACACTCTATGTCTAGCTCTTACTTTGGTTTTATTCCAGAACTGAGAAGTACGGGGATTTAGATATTTAGAGGGTAACTATGCTCCTAGCTATTAGGTACTATTACTATTCCACTTGATATAAGTAAGAAAAGTGAATGGAGTTGGGAACAAAGATGTAGTAAGTTGCTCACATCCACAGAGCCAGTAAGTTCTAAATCAGAAAGTAAAATTCAGGTATGATTCCGAGTCTGCTTGATCTGTGCTGGTAAGATTTTCAGTTCTGGTAAAATGCAGCTAAGAGGTTAGTCTTATAATTTTTAATTCTGCCTGAAGGAGTTGAACAGTGACTCTTCTAAGATAATATTTTGTTAAATTTGAAAGGGGAGAGAACATTGGAATTCTAGCTATTCTGAATACGAGGAGAGTCTTGCACATTGGAAGTGCTTATAAATGTGTAATTAATCAATTTGACTGAGGAGGAACTACAAAGATGTGCCGTGAGAAACAAACTTCAATCCAGGATCACAGAAACCAAGAACTACAAGATCCTAGATAGACACAGCCTTGTGTTACTAACCAAAGCGAGCCTCTGAAGTCTCTCAACAGTGAAATGAGAAGAGGAATTAGGTTTTTTCTACTTAAGTTGTGATTTACCCTTGGTCTATCTACTAAAAGGAAACCATTTTTCTTTCATAAAGATAATAACAGGAGAAAAAGAAGAGACATCTGTTTTATAGCATTTAATATATTAACTATAAATCCTTCTGCCTTAGAAATCAAACTAGATTGAAATTAGAAATATTAGACGTCTAATTTTGATTAAAATGGTGAATTTAATTGGAACATGAAATTAATTTTGAGAATATAAACACTGCATTCATTATTAATACACACAATTCATGAGCTTAGACCTTAAAAACAGAATTAAACAAGATTAAAACCCAGCTTTCAGGAAAAGATAAATTTTCAATTCACTCAGTGTTCTCTGGTAATAGGTATCAATAACCAAGACATAAAGTTCACATTGAAAATATTTAAAGGAATCTTCATAACAGAAGTCACTATTAGTATTTCATAACTGTAGTTAATATAATAAAAAGTGAAATTTCACACCTATAACCTAAGAAATTATAACCCTAGTTAAAAATCAGTAACCTTCCATACAAAATAAAAAGCCAGCATTCCAGGGCTTAGAAGGGCAGGTTTAAATTAGTGTTAAAACTCTAACATATTATGTAAAAGAACCCTGAAGTAACAGGTCTTCAATGAGTTGGCTAAGATAATTATTACATTTTGGGTAAGTCCATTCAGGAAATAAACTATAATATGTTGCTGAGATATGACCAGTCAATTCATGTCAGAGCTCCTTCCAACACTTTCCTTAAGACAGGTGTGATCCTGTGTGAATGAAAAGTAATAGAGGCTAGAGGAAAAAAATCACTGGAAAGAAAAAAAAGGCAGGTCCCTCCAATTAAGATTCTAGGTTTTGGAAATATACTTTTGAGGATGATAAACTCTCTATTTTCAGAGAACATAATAAAATGCTTTTATAAGTGCTTTCACTTCCATTTTCATATTTAGATGGCCTTGTTTGAAACCCTCACAGATCTTCGTATTCACAACAGATCAGAGGCTGAAGGTACCAAGGAAACTCCCTGGCAGGACTCATGGCAAACCACCACCACCCCTCCCCTTGGAATTGAATGCCACACTAGACATTTTGATTCTTTTTATCCTGTTTACCCTAGAATATCACTGAGGTTAAATATTATCACACAAAGTTTTCATCATCATTCTACCTTCACACATGGCTGTGCACATGTGCATGTCACACTTCACAGTTCATTATTCCCTGACCATATGATTAACTCACCAACAGCAAAACATTATTTTGAAGTAATAGGTTACTCCCATCAAATAACAGTTTAAGATCAGCAGAGTTGGAACCACTTTTATATTACAGTCCTCAAAAAGGCAAAGCCTCCTTCAGCTGAGGGAAAATGGCAACACTCTATCTCAGAGCCAAAAATATGAAAACAAATACCAGAAAATATTACAGTACAACTCAGCCAAGGGCCTATGAGGAATTCTAAACTCAGTGATTTCTGCTGCTGCCTCTTTGGTTCCCTGTAGGTTCAAATCCTTCCCTGGATACATAAATGATAGTGGTGATAACCTTTAAATATAAACTCAACACATGTGACAATCTCAGGTTTATGGAGAAAGACTTTTTTTAAGAGTGAACTGCACTTGGTGTTTTATGTATGTGAGAAGTTCATTTTACCTGTCTAATGTATATTGGTCCTAGGCAACAATGATTTATGACTTAATTTATGATATAATTATCCAACTTTTTTTCAAATTAGATAAAACCAGGAGAGTTTAAAAAAAAACAACAGTTCTGATTCTCCCACCAACATGTTAATGGGGAAAAGAAATTGGGCAGATGACATAAGGGAAGGTGAAATAAATCTCTGGCAAATTGTCTAGTCTATTCATACTAAAATTAAATCATGACTTAGAACCTTCTTCCAGACATCTTTTAAGTTCAAGTTTTAATGAGCTTCTGATTATTTATAACTGGGAGATAATTAAAGATCTGCAAGGAAGAAGAATGCTAGGAGAAAAAAGAAAACACTGCCCAACCTTTTATACCAAGTCCTGTCAGGAGAGTTTAAGCAGATTGGTTAGCTTCTGCTTTGCATATTTCTTACCTTTGCTCCTTCTAAAGGCAACTCATGGCGTCTGTGTTTCCGCATCAGCACTGGGTCAGAGCCCATTCTACTGTGCCGCCCATTTACATTTGAACCGGCTGTGATCCCGGGCTTTGGAGAGCCATCCGCTAGGAGTCGGCATCCCACGGACTGATTAGTCCCGAACACCTCCCGAGGGCACCAGGCTTCGAGAGGCATCGGCTGGTCTCTGGAGGGCACACTCTCCGCAGCATGAAAGTGCCGACTCAGTCTGTTGTCTGGAGGGATCGGGGGAGGTCTCTCAGGTGGAGGCGGAGGGGGATCTCTTAAGGGAGGAGGTGGTGCCGGGAGTGGTTTATCTTGTTTTCTCACCATGCAAGGAGAGGACTAAAGAGGCACAAGAGGGGGGAAAAAAGTTGTACCATGCACGGAAGTGATTTCCAGACTAATATATTGTTGCTTTTGTTTTCTAAGGCATATGGAAGTTTATATTAGATTCCTATGCCATCCTTTAATAAGTTTCTTTTTATCACCAATTAATGACATTTCATTTTTAAAAATTAATGAAAACTTATATGAGTGCCAGAATGTCTTTGTAGAAAATGAGTACCTAAATGTAAATATTAGGATTATAAAGACTACATAGGAAAAAGCAGAATATCAAAATCATATGATTTTGGCTGACATTAAGATAGTATCAGGTCATTAACATTTCTTTGACTTAGGTAGGAGAGAAGAAATCATCAAAGGTGTAGCTGTTTTACTTTTTTAAAGAGCAACTTGATTTGTGACATCTCTGGAAATGAAAGTGTTGGTTTGGTATTTTTGCATCTGCCACTGCAATATGGAGCAACTAATAAGGGGGGCAGCTCTGCTCTGGGTATTTATCAGCTCTTACCAGAACAGTGAAAAATCACCAATAACAAAGCAGCATTATTCATAGATGTTACTTGAATTTTATGGACCGTTAGAATGAAAAAAAATCAGTCTGAATCTTATGTGGAAATATGAAGGTATATGCTCCTGATCTGAATCTATATGGCTTTCACAGCTTTTATTTTTATTTACATGGTTCATGTGATGATGATGTACTTTCAGTTTTAGAAAACATTTCAGAAAAAAAGGAATTTGCATGTTTACATAATTCTGACTAAGAAACATTCTAAAAAGTCTTACTGTGATCTTAACCCAAGTTAACTGCAATGTAGAAAAATCAAATACTAGTTAAATATTGTGCTCCAACTAATTTTAGACTATAAAACATATTACCAAATGGAATTAACTTTTTTAATCTTGTATTTCATACAGCAAAATATGCCTTTATCAATTTGCAAAGAAATCTTCAAAGAACTAAAATAAACTGGGGGCTTAGATTTACATTGTTAGAATTATGTCTTTACTATTATACAGTAATGTTCTCTAAACTCTGAAAAAATGTTATTCTTTGCAATTAATTCCTTCAGGTATAAAAGTACTGAACAAATAATTCCTTCTTCTGAGTCACCTTGAAATATGGGTGATCATTTATCACCCCTTAAGCCCTTATGCAAATCTACTCCCATCACATTTTTCCTGTCCTGACACTATGAAAATGAGTGTAAAATATCATTTGATAAGAGCATGCAATTTATTTTAATATATATGATGACCTTTTAAATCCATTTTACAGAATAACTACACTTACTCTGCTATTTATTTTAGCAAATCAGGTGGCTGTTAGATGTATGCTCTCTCTGAATAATTATGTAATTTTTACAGTAATAAAGCAAGGAATATGGTAGTGTACTCACCATAAAATATGAGAAACATATCAAAGGTTTTCATAAATAATTAAGAGCATATGATACATGAGCAAAGGATTTAAAAGAGCTTGAACAAAATAATTATCATGTAAAATTATCTGTGATTCTAATAAAATTGATTTACCTTTGGCGAACCAGTTGGGCTGCCACAGGGAGACCGAACTATGCCTTTCTGAATGAGATCCAGGCGAGGTGGCACTGGTGGTAGGCTTAGATGTGGAATCTGGAGAGGGTCTGGGTGTGGCTTTCTTCTCTGTGCAAGGGGAGAGGATCCTGGCGATGTGACTGGTGAATTCTGCCTGTCAGTGCACTAGAACAGAAAAAGAGAAAGATGCTGTTCGTCTGATGTGTCAAGTGTGTGCCTTTCAGTTCTTAAGGAAGACATGTGGCGTTGAGGTGTCTGCCACTGGACATCTGTTATAAACTAAACTCAGTTTACTCTGATTAAAAGATGGAAAAAGTTTGCATTGTCCCTTAATTAAAGACACTGGTGTCCTTCAAGTATTACGTAAAAAAGTAAACAGATAAAGTTTCTCCTATATATTGAAGAAAGGGCCTATAGGAAAAGCATAGTTCAAAAACAATTAAATACAGACATTCTTCTAGAAATCTGTCTGAACTTTATGGGGAAATCAGAAACACACACACACAGTGATGAACAATGCTCTTGGGTTATCTACACTATAGAATTTTTCTAAGTCATTGATTTATAGTACATTCTAGAACTTATCAGAAATCATTTTGTTCCATAGGAAATAGGAATTCAGTGCATAGTTTGCTTTTTCTACATACCAATTAAATCAGGCAGGGTTAAAAAAATGTGTATTTAAAATAAACAGACTTAAGGCCCAATAACTTTTTTCCAAGTCTTCACATGGACAATAAATTTTCTTTAAAAACAATTAAATCTAGGAAAGCCTATACTTTTGCAAAATAATGGATATATTTCTATACTACTACAGGTTTACCATCTCACCTGGTAGATAAAATGGCATAAAAAAGCCAGTAACAAGTACTCTGATTTGTACAAAGTAACCCTTTCTATTTTGGAAGTTTATTTTTTAATGTGACATAACCTGGTTGCTATTTGGTATAAAAGTCTTACTAATTAATCAAATAGCCTCACTAGAATAAACAATATTCTCTTTTGAAATATAAGGCAGTTTACCTTTTCAAGGCTAAATTACTAGCTCTTTGGAGATCTAGCTTAGTTTTTATATCTACTACATTAATCTATCATGCTTTGATATTCATGTGTTTTCTAATGCTAGTATTTATAGAGTTTAAAGCCTGTTGTTAAGCCATTTTCTTCCTAACAGACAATTTCATTCAAACTCCAACAACAGTGAGAATGACTGAGCCTTTCTGTCTTTACCTAACTAAGATGTGCTAATAGATTTGTATTCACATCAACACTTAGTTACAGTGTGTAGGGCCTTTTTTCTAATTAACTAAAGTTGGGGTTTATCTGGTGTTTTTCTCAAGATTAGATGGGGTGATTGTATTTCTGGAAAGAAATAGCATGGAGATAAAGTAACATTTCAACAACATCACATCTAGGGTCCACACTACCAATATAATTCATCATGTCTGTTGCTGACCTTGATTACCCAGCTGAGGTCTTGACTGTCAAGGTTTCTTGACTGTATTTTTCTCCCCCATTCCCCATAGTACTCTTTGTAAGGAAGTCACTATCTGTAGACCACACCACACTTATGCAATGGGGAGTTACGCTGCCCCTTGTAGAGGCTTTTTAAAAATAAATTATGTCAATTGAGTTGAAGTACCCCAACACGTGTTCTAATAAAGTAAAATTGTTATGTTAATTTGAAACATTGTATTTTTTCTTTATAATTTCCTATGTTAACTATACTTTTATGACAATGAATAATATCTAAATAAAAAATTCAATATTTAAAAAAATGACATACTGATTTAAATATTAAGCCCTAAACCAATGCCAACCTCAAAATAAGATATCAATTGTAATTTCTAGTATTATTTTAATTCTTAAGTATGTTGATGTATACAATTTTTTGGAAAATTTATATTTTTGATTACACATAAAATAAAAATAACTTTATAATGAAAAATAAATAAATTAGAGTGGCTAAACAGAAGCTTCTAGATCATACCTCAGATATGCTTGAATATTTTTATGTCTTCACTAAACTGTCAATTCTGTGTCTCTTTCCATGGGTGCCAAGTAACTTAAAATACATCAATAAATTTAGACATGATTTTACATCACATTTTAAAAAATCTTTTCTTAATTTCATGATTCTTTTTTATATCTATCTTGTGATAAGGCAAAAAAAATCAATTGTTACAAAGTTAGAAATGAAAATGTAGAAACTTATAGTCATAAGCTGATTTTAATGTAGCCAGTGATTCTTAATAATAACAATTCTACCTAAAAAGTCATGGATGGAGTCTTACATGGTTATGAATGTGAACTTTGTGGAGTAAAACCAATCCAAATGTGTCCATGGACAGAACAGAATTCCTGATGTAAATGATGTGCATCACAATGTTATAGCATTTCAGATCAGATGTCACAGGACATCTGATTCTCCATAATTCCCATTAGAATAAAATACATTCTCGAGAGCTAGCAAAACTGTTACCTGATAGAAGTGCTTTGTTGATTTGATTATCTTTTACAAAAAAGACTCAAGAAGCAAAGCTATCTACACTGTTCCTATCCCAAGAAGAGATAGAGTGTGTGTGCAAATAAAATATGAGTAATGGAATTTAAAAGAACCTGGCCAATCAATAATTATCATATAAAATTATCTGTGTTTCTAACAAAATTTATTTATTTGGTGAACCAGTTCAGCTGCCACAGGGAGACCTTTCTGAATTAGATCTGGGTAAGGAGGCAGAGATATATATATATACAGGTGTGTGCATATAGGGAGAGAGAGAGAGCATACACACACACACACACACAGAATACATATCGTTTGTTTAGTTACTTACAAAGAAATTTTTCAGCATTACACGCACACAGTGCAAAGATGCTGAACTAGACCTATGCTCATCCAAGCACTTTCCTTTCACAGCTGTTTTCCTGCTTCTCTCATTACCTGAAACAGAATTTTGACAGAGCCAACAGCCCACATCACCATTAGAACTTGATTTCCACTTAAATTACTAATATTTTGGCAGTTACCAAATTTCTAGTTTGCTTAAATAATGGGATGGATTTGATTTGAAATAGTTGAAATGTTAGATATTGAAAGAGTATCCTGAAAATCCTCAGGGCACGCCAACCAATGTGTGTGGTACAGCAATAACCTTGAACTTCTAGATATTTCCATACAAGCACCCTTTCTACAGCTTTGTGAATGTAATTGGAAGCAGACCTTGCTTCTTAGCACAATTCATATTGTGTTTTCAAGGTGATTATATTTTGTTCCCCTGAAAAATGAATTCATTTTAAGGCATTATGGTATCATGGCTTAGATGGAAGAATTTTATGGAGGATATATCAGTATGTGAAGGAACAAAAACTATTTCATCTCTATTGATTATGTGGACTAAATTCATTATAACTTACTCATTTTACTGAGTTCTAAATTATAGCAAAATTCCCATGTGAGAGTAGATAATTAACAGTGCCCTTTAGATAACAATGCATTATTCTTTGCTGAACCTCTTGCTATCTCTATGAACAATTCTGCAATTAGAGTACTGAAACTTTGCATTAACTTTTATTGCTGGTAAAATTTAATTCCAGCTATGAACATTTGTAAACATTTTTAGTAGATGGTTTTAGTAGATGGTCACATAAAAGGTCGCCATTTCTCTTTCCTTTCTGTGTGAAAGTCTAAGGAGACAAGATGACTAACACAACACCTCACACTCCAGCTAATAATTAAATTCTTAGATGAGACATTAAAATGTATGATATCAAAACTTATCAGCCTAAATAGGAAGTTTCCATTTTTTCCCTTCTGAAAATAAAGCAAAATAGATTTATTTAATATAGATCTAAATTATTTTTCCTTTAACTATACCTGACTCTATATTTGAATATTTAGTGGCTTTTAAAGGACTCTGATTCCTAGAGTATCAAACTTTTCCCCTGTGTAGGCAGTCATCAGGCACAGCAAATACCTCTAAAGCCTTAGATGTGATAAAGGGGTGTGGCCAGTTATCTTTGTATTGTTTTATATTACTTTTAATGTATTATTTGTATTATTTCACCATCATACATTTCCCTCAGCCCTTCTCCCTGCCTTCCTCCACAGATCTAACCCTCATTCCAAGATCACTCAGGCCATTTATCCTTCTCTACTTCTTAGAGGCAATAAAGAGAGTAACTGGGCAACACAACCACCATCAAGCAGCTTGGCACCAATCCTCTGGCTCAGGTTTAATTTATGACTATAAACTGTGTTAGCTTAATTACCTCTTACTGATTTATCCAATGTTCCTCATAGTCACTACCAAATCCATTCTGCATAAAAATGCACATTTAATACACATATATAAAACATCTTGAGTAGAAGAGTAGTAAAGTACTTACTTAAATACTGAACAATAACAGGTAAGCTTAGTTGATAGGAACACTTGATTGGAATGTGTGAATTCCAAGTGTGGCTAGCTGTCAAACTAAAGTTCTAATGCCAACTAACTATAATGACCAAGGATTTTGATAAAATAGCCATATAATCAAGTGTGTAATCTAACCTCATCTATACATATTTCCTATATGTAATATTTAAATTTCAGCTAGACGTTTTAAATGCCATGTAGTCCTGCACCAGTCATCATCCACCAACACTGTTATCTGTGGATGCTAGAATAAGGTTAACCCATTTCATGGCGACTTTATGGGTTAATAAAATTAAATGAAATTAGGTGAAATATGATAAAAATAAAAGCTGCTGTAAAACATTTAATTTTTATTTGGATGACAGAGTTAGGAATATCGACTATTTTGACACAGAAGTGACAATACAGTTTATATATCTCCAAAGTTCCAGTCAAAGCTTGCACATCTTCACTATCAAAAGATAGTTGTATGAAAGACATCTTCATACAAAATGTTCCAATGCATCTTATTTCTTATTTTGCCCTAGACAATTCTTCTATCAGGCCCAAACAAAACCAAATATTTAAACAAATAATAAAAGTCTCACAATTCATTCAAAAGTCAAGTAGAAATGCTGTTATTAATACTGTCATTAACATAAAAATCTAGAATTGAATTTAACACAAATTTTTATTTTTTCATCTTGATATAAGAGTGTCTATGTCAATAGAGAAATAACAAGTAACAAGAAACAAGAGGAAAAGCAG